AGAAATAAATGCTAACAGTGATAACCTAAGCCAGTTCTGACACCTGTCCCATATCCAAGTATGCAGAAATCAACTGTTAAAACACAAAATAATAGCAACTATGTCATTCACCTTTGTTCTCTCATACTGCAAAACGAAAGCTTATGCTCTAATAAATTTGTTAGTCTCTAAGGTGCCACGAGTACTCCTGTTCTTTTTATTTGTATAGTGTCCTTTAAAAATAAGAGTAAATTATCTATTTGTTTTTGCTTTGGCTAGTGAGTATCATTTAGATAGTTTTTAGGTGCCACCGAACTCCTCGTTGTTTTTATATAGAAAAAACTATCTTTATAATTAATGTGAGGGTATTTTTAAAATACAGTAGCAGCTTCCCATATGTGGTATGGTGTATTTCTTTCTTACCTATTTTTTTTTAGTAAGTGATACAAATTATTAATATTTTGAACAGACACACTTTACACAATAAGCTGTATTTCTTGCCTTTTACCTTAGTGTTTAGTCTGTGCAATGTATATTATACACCTCTTAGCCTCTGCTTAGCAAAAGGTTGTAGGCTAAGTATATGATATAGGATCATAACTATGAATAAATTATCGAGGAGTAGTTCATAAAACTTTCTGAAGATAGTCTTTTAGCCCATTATGATATGTTGTTGACTTAACAAATTCTAACAATATTGCTACAGATTTCAAGGGTATGATTTTTGAAAGTCATCCAAATTAATATGTATGCTTACATAGAAATTTGTCTTGAAGAATCTGATCCTAAATATTTGTACTATGGTGTTTCTATGAGTAGTGCCCTATGTTAGTTTGTGTGCAGCTAGATATATTATTATTATATATTGTAATCAGACAAGAATTTGATCCTAAAATTTAATATATTACAATCTGATATTCAAATATCCCATAAATAAACACTGAGGAGAAACATTTGGTCTCTCTTTAAATCTCTTTTTTAACCATTCGTTTCAGTTTTAACATCTTGAGTGCAATAAAACTTTAGAGCCAATGTGCATAAATTTGTCAGTTGTTGAACTAAAGTTACAAAGAAAACATATGAAACAGTGATTCCTAAATTAGAACTGCATCATCTTTTAAAAAGTCATTGTTTATGCCAGTATCTCCAGGTGTCAGCTAAATTATTAATGCTAAATCATGTTTCACAATAGAAACATCTGGCAGATAGTCTCATTGCTTCTAAGAAGATGGGGTGAGTTAAAATGATGTCATTACAGGAAGCTCCCCTTATTTTATACTTCAGCTATATCTATTTGGTATTTTGATAAATATAGCTCAACTGTATACTGAACAAATGATGCTCCAGAATTTAAATAAAATTCTCTATCAATTTTAGGGTCCAATCCTGCAAAGAGTTACATATGTGAAATACTTTGTTTACATTAGTAGTTACAATGAACTAAGTATGACTACTCCCATGAAGTTACTCAGCTGTTCATGTGTTTGCAACAACAGCTTCTTAGCAATTACTAGATATTCTGTAGGATATTTAAGAATTTTTTTGATTATTTATTTAAATCAAATTAATATTTATTTGCATTGAGATTACAAAACTAAAAGTTATTATAAAACTGGAAATCTACAAAAGAGTATTCTGAAGAGAGCTGAGTAAATTCTGGAACTTCAAGAGTCTTTATTCTAGTCTTTATTTTAGTTACATCAGAAACATCTGTATGTTTACTTAGCCTATTTAGGTATTCATTATATATGTATTATCATTTAGGGTAGGAATTTCAAAGGAATCTAATGGTGCTAAACACTCACTCCTTGATTTACATTTCTGGGTTGCTTATGTGAAAATTGCATCATTGTTAACCAATATTACAATCTTTTATACAAGTTTAGGGTCTGATCCCTTTCAAATCCATTGACTGCAATGGGGACAAAAGCTGATAAATGATAACTCAATATACTTAGCCTTTTAATGGGGTTAACTAACCTGCAATGACTAGTGACATCTTTTTTGTGTTTATTTGTAATCCAGTTAAATAATCCCAATTACCTTCTATTACAGTAGATTTCCAGGGCACACAATTCTCTCATTTCTGATTGTCTGAGCTACATTTTATCAGGGACTTTTGACCCCAGTAGCTCACCACTAATTTGAATTTTACAGATTGAACTGTAGTTGGAGAAATAAATGCTAACAGTGATAACCTAAGCCAGTTCTGACACCTGTCCCATATCCAAGTATGCAGAAATCAACTGTTAAAACACAAAATAATAGCAACTATGTCATTCACCTTTGTTCTCTCATACTGCAAATACACCTCTACCTCGATATAACGCTGTCCTCGGGAGCCAAAAAATCTTACCGCGTTATAGGTGAAACCGCGTTATATCGAACTTGCTTTGATCCGCCGGAGTGCACAGCCTCCCCCCTCCCCCCCCCCAAGCACTTTACCACGTTATATCAGAATTTGTGTTATATCGGGTCGCGTTAGATCAGGGTAGAGGTGTATTTTAGATTAATAATTGTTTTCCTGCAGAAGTAAATTGCATTATAGTAATATCTACAGTTACTTTAGCTCCAGGTAAGAAATTATTTCATTCTCTACACCTACATCCCAGCCAGGATTTGAACAACAGTTTATTTTTATTGCCCTTTAAATTTGGTAAACTACTTATTGGCACTTAGGCAGAAATTAGGATGCTGTAAAATTCATGACGAACAGCAAATCTGTTGATCTATAAAAATATCCATCCTTTGCGCAATTTACTGAAAAATTCTTAACATGGAAAAAATGTATGAAACGACATATAGAGTCCATATTTGTGAATATAGCTTTTGTGATCTGTCAGTTTATTATTTCATATGGCATTGCTATCCAGAATTAATGTATTCGACCACTTTTAAATCTGTGCAGGCCAATAAAAGCATTGTAATCCCACTATAATTTTGTCTGTTTCTTCTCCTTTTTATAAAGAAATCTGAAAAGCTTCTTCCTTTATAAACTTGGTCTTCCACAATTTTATTATGGAGAAAATTACATTTTTGAAAATTATGTCTTACGCATCTGTATTGTTACAAAAGCTATGAGAGTTTAGCAGTCTGCATTATGGAAATAGAGGGACAGAATAAGCAAGTATGCACAGAACTGGAAGTTCCTAAGGTGGCTTAATATTTTAGATATCTGCCTAGTAGCTAACATTCAAATGAGAATTCATTGTCTGAAATACTATATATGCGCCTATCTATTTCTATAGGGATTTTTCCTATATTACTCCAATCCATCACTGCTATACATTGGTACCTAATTTCTTTTTGATGGATTCAGATTCAGAAATTTGTTAAACTAACACATCTGACACTATGCTCCCAAATCAACTTTCGCAGAAAAACAATCAAAGACAAACAGCATGTCACTTGTGGGCGAACATTTTTCAAACAATGTATCTGACCTCTCAGTCTTTGTCCTCAAATGAAACCTGCACACCTTCAAAAGACAAGCCTGGGAGCTTAAATTCATAACTTTGCTAGACACTAAAAATAATGGTTTTAATAAAGACACTGGATGTATGGCACATTGCAACAATCTGTAACCCATTAACATCCCTTTTTGACCTATGAATGACTGCAGAGGGGTTAACTGGCCACTTCACTTTGAATGGTCCCTTAAAACATATGTTAATTATTTATGCTAAACAATCTGTTCCACCTTGTATCTAGCTATGACACTCTCAATACCTTTCCCAGACCTGAAGAAGAGCTCTCTGTAGCTCAATAGCGTGTCTCTTTCACCCACAGAAGTTGGTCCAGCAAAAGATACTTGATCCACCTTGTCACTGAAGATTTTTTAGCATTTCTGAACATCTAAACCTGAACCACATAAAAGCAGATTTGAGTATTTAATGCCAATTGAGCATACTCCCATGATCTTCAGGGGTTTCCAGTTAGTTTGATATATTGTAACTGTAGTGATTAATGATAAACATTTCTTCCCTGAGGTGGGTAAAAGAAGGGAGATGGCTGAAAAAAGAGCAGAAAGAAAAGTTGAGAGGGAAAATGAAAAAGAAAGGAAGAAAATGAGAAATAAAAGCAAGAATATTGGGAATATTGCAAGAATAAAATGAGTATGGAGGCATTAGTGTTATGATAGACAAAGCCCCATAAGATTTATATTTCAAGTGATCCATTTAATTGGTAGCTCTGCTTGTGTTCTTAAAATAGTGTATTTATCTTCATTTCATCTGAAGATTTACATACGGTTTTCTTAATTTTGAAAATGAAATTAAAAGGTGATAAAAGGAAATTGCCACATGACGTTGTTCAGGTCAAGAACTTAGCAAGCGCTAAAAGG